TTTTTACTTCCAAGAAAATGGGTGCTATATAAATAAGGAATCTTGTGCATCGACTTAGCTGTGACGTTGTTCAATGTGGTAATTAATTTCAGTTTTGGTTCATTAGAATTGACACGTAGCTATGGCAATAGCCATCTATAATTTCCTGTACGTTATTTATATTTATATTTTTCATTACATACACACATATCTACATTTCATTTATCAATTCTAAGTAATATTTTGAATAATAGAAAATTATAAAAAATAAAATATATAATGAATAATTTATGTGATTTCTGAATAATGCAAATAATTTTGTTATCAATGTATAGGTTTAAACCATCTTTTATAGTTGTTCCAGTTATACCTGAGTTAGTTTATAATTTGAAGTTAATTTAAATAAGTCATAATCTTAACTTAGTTATAGTTTATTTTTTATGTGATTTTGTGGTTTTAACAGATACATTATCTGGAATTGGTTGACACGAAGATATATAGATCTCTGGGTCCTCACCGACAATAATTAGATTAGTCATAAAATCTTTGTTAAAAAAAATTTTATGTCAAGATAATAAAATTTTATTTAATAGGATCTTTTCTAAAAATAATATCTAATAATTATTATAAATTTAGATAATCACTTACAATGTATTACTGTTTTATATGAAAAATTTGTGTTCCTTCTTTAGTTGGTTAATGTATTAATCTCTAATGCTTACTACTACCATTCAGTATGACTATCCTAATATGCGGTATATATTTCGGTAAAGAAGACATTAAGTCTATCTGGTAGATAAAGTATATAAAAATAAGAGAGCACAGGACCGTAACAAAGCATATGTGTGGCACTTTCATCAGTCTCCCTATAACTGCGACAGAAATGATTAATAGGGAGATATAATATTATTGTTTCGAAGAGATTCAATCTTCTAGATTCTAAGAGATTCAATCTTTGAGTTACTAGGAGATTCAATATTTTAGATTCTAAGAGATTCAATCTTCTTGATACTAGGAGATTCAATCTTTTAGATACTAGGAAATTCAATTTTTTAGATTCTAGGAGATTCAATCTTCTAAATTCTAAGAGATTCAATCTTCTAAATTCCAAGAGATTCAATCTTCAATCTGGTTCCCTAAATTGTTGTGACCCTACCACAAGACTGATATCTTTATGAAGCATCTGAAAAATATTGTTGGTATTTTCACCTTTATAGAACGCGGTCAATCGTTGAGTCTTCTCATCTTTTATTTAATTTGTCGATACAGAAAGTTTTCAACAATGCCTGGCATTAAAATTTCTTTCTATTTGTTATAAATAATTATTATTTTTTAATTGAAAAAAATTATTATTTTATCCTGTGATTTTCTAATTCAAGCTAATTAGCCTTTAATACATATAAAAAAAAAAAACAAGTGAAGTGCATCCTTTGAATTAATTTTTCAAAAAATATTTACATATTTGTGGTGTTTATGAGATGATCTGGTATGATAAAGGTGAATGAACATTTGTTGCTGGCTGAGCAGAAACGATTCCAATGGATATGTAAAGTCCTGTTTAAAATTTATTAAAACACACAGAGATGAGGTCAATTTAATTGTTTTGTTTGCGTTTAATAGAATAAGTTCTTTTTTTAATGTTGTTCTTGTTGTTTTTGTTGTTGTAGCTGCAGTTGTAACTGCATTTATTGCGATTGTGCATATTGTCCACACTCTTACCTCCTAGTTTAATATCCTTTATATCCTGTGTATATACACATATGTGTATGTTAAAATATATGCTTCAGTTAGTCGGGAAAACAGGGAAGTAGAAAGGTAGGAAGGTAGGCAGAGGAAGGTAGGTAGGCAGCAGTTATGTATACAAAAGATTTTGTATTATGAAAATGTATTTGATGCACACATTTTCGATTGCCTTCAGATACAATGAATAAGAGGTGAGTGAGCGCTTAATGTGTTTAGGTTTGAGTGTTTCTTGTACATTTGTACAACACGAAAAGCAACAACAACAACGAAATAATAACAAGTAGTAATCGTTTATATGTTCTGTGAGCTCCTTTTGTTGTTCCTTTTGATGGACGAAACCAATATCTACTTATTAGCGAATATGCACCCATGCAACCGCAACTTTTACCACTGAATTAAGAGACAGTGTTGAAAGGGAACAGCTAATTATAAACTAAAAGTTCTATTAAATTTTAATATAAGCAAATGCTCAATTTACCTAATTGATTGTACTAAAACGACCCGTAGATATTTTAATGGAGTTTACTTACTACTTTGTAAATAGTTGAAGCAACTAACTATAAACCAAGGATATAATTTGTTGTATAAATCAAAGTGAATCATATGATTTATATATGTTTAGGTAAAATATGTTATCAGAGATATTATGCCAATTCTATCAAATTTCATAGTTTTTAATTTTAAAAAAATATTAATTGAAATTAAAAGACAACTCACATCTTACTTTCTTTTGCTTCCGTCACATTTAATATAGGATATAAGTTTGAAAACTAAATGAAATTCCTTTTGATAATGGAGGGCATCTTTCTCAAGGCAACAACAATAACAATAACAACAACATTGGAAGCAAAAGTAGCAGTAGTAGGAACATTGCATACCTTTGTGCAGATAATCATGTACTTAGGTATACCAAAACCGCTTTACATATGCACAATAAACGCAATGCACGCAGATACATATTGACAATGCCTACACAAACAAACCAATACAAATATAATTACTCACAGGACATAATATTGGGTGTGCTTTTGCATATATTCATATTAGGTCATTGACATTGTAGCAGCATTAAGAAGAACATCCTACCAAATAGCATCGTTTTAAGTTGCAGTTAAGCTATCGCTTGTATGCATTACACATGAAGTCTATCCGCACTACTATGTGTAATTATTTGGATTGCTTGACATACAGTACATCTAATTACAAAAAAAAAACCATTTTATTAATTATAAAATAGTTCGAAAGACTAAATAGAGTCCACTAAAGACATTCTTCTGGTAGTAGATATATAGATGTTATTCTAAATGTGATAGTATGAGGTGCACTTCATGTTTAATTTACAGTTTAAATAACTGTAAATGGTATTAATAATAGCTTTAATTAAAAATAAAAGTTTAGAACTGATTGGGCATCTCATCTATTTATCGTATATACCTATTGATATAGTAGTTAAAATTTGTGATTGTTTATCCTGTAGGTCCACTAGTAGTTTACACTGTTGTTGTTATTGATATCACTCTTCTGTTATGGGAAAACGATGCTGCTTTTATGAGTGATAAATGAGAATTAAAAGCGGCACTTCATCCTTAATATTGGTGTACTTCCCGGGACGGAAAAATATTCACTAGATTGACTATTAGTTGGCTAATACAGACGTGAGTCGTCCTTAGCCACCTAGGTTGACTATAGTAGAAGTAAAAGACTACAACAATAAAAGAACTCTAGTGTGCAATTTAATAGCATCTTACTTTAAATATAAGTTATCACAAATTTAATAAAAGGAAGAGTTAATAAAAGGAAGAGTTACCGTTACACGTAATTATAACTTCTGATTTTATAGTGAGTGATTCATATCTGTACCGACCTAAATGTGCAGGCACCTGAGTCTAGTACCTTCCCAGTACCTAAGTTTTGGACGCAGTTGCATTTCTCTTTTTATTTTAGTTTATTTAAACAAATGTTTTAGCATTAAGTTAGTGCCAATGTGAGATTAGAAGAATAAAGTCCAATTTTAAATACAATGCTTTGGAAACAGTAATGTATATGAATTGTTTAAATGAAGATTTTAATGTTGCTTGCATTTTTTCACGTAATATGTGTAGTAATAATACTATATATATAATATATTATAACATGTCTGACCAGTTAGAAAATTATGAAGGAAGAATAAAATAAGCTTTGACATAACATAATTATCTCTCATTTCTATTGATTAAGAATTACTAAATAAAATTTTCTCATATTAGTTTTTCCTACACACAATCACTTCATATTCCAATTTTCACTTAACGATCAAACTTTTAATTGGCACTATTACTATAAAAATAGATTATATAAATAAATTGTCTCAGTAGTTCACATATGAGTATTAGATCTCACCAATTATAGAACATAACTTAAGCATCGTGGACATGTGGCTGATTGATCGGGCTTAACATGCGGTTTTCTGTGATTGGAGTTAATGCAGTGGATCCACTTTTCATCACCATTCCATTTAGGCATTTGCTGCTTGTGTCACCCCAATCATTCTGCAATTTATTCTGGCGGTTGACACAAATTTTGGTAGAGTAATCATTCAAAGATTCTTTCTCTGCATCTTCAAACCTTTTGGGTTGGTGTAATGACTCTTTGGCTTTAATATGCAAATCATTACTTTTAGGACAATGAAACCACTTTAAACATTAAACGCATCATGATTTCATTATAGTATCGTCACCATACAGTGTCACCAGTAAACGGTGACAATTGGCAAAAGTTTCTTTTTTGCAAATAGAGGGTTAAAAAATCTTCCCATAATTCTAAAGATTTTTCATAATCGCTTAAAGCGTATATGTACATAATATCTCTTTACTGCAGAGGAAAGTTGTCAAATGGAACTTCAAAACGTTGTATATGTCATTGAGGTATTACATACTTTGCTTGCATGCGTGGCGCCATCTGTTATTAAATTCTGGTTATTAAGTTATACACTCGGCGTTTGTAGAGAATTCTTTAACAAAATCTTTTCATATTAGATTATTATCGAATTCTGGTTATTGAGTTATGTACTCAATATTGATAGAAAATTCTTTAACAAAATGTGTTCTCATCTTAGATTGCAATAGTTTTATTCTCTTCTCGCTGTATTTAAAGCTTCATCAAGCAATCAAACCTTTAATTGAGACGATTTACTATAGGCAAATGGTCTAAGTAAAAAAATATGTATAAAAACCGAATTATATAGATAAGACAAAAAAATATAATTAAAAAATAACTAAAATATGTTTTATTTTTTTCAGATAACATCTTATGATCGCCTCTCGCTGCGTATATGTCACGCCTGCATTAGCTATTTGAACTCTTGGCAGAGTTTTAAAAATCGTTGCCTTACATCTCAGAAAAAACAACGCAGTTGGGTAGATAATAACTTAAGCATAACAACAACACCAGCTGATAATACGCAAGATGAATATCAAGAACAAAGTAGCTTGGCATCATCAATATTGGATGGAATTACCACGTTAAAGAAGCGAAAATCTTTAACAGTTTATGTGAGTCCTAAGAAACGTCAACAACAACAATCTGTGCAGCAACAACAAAAGCAGCATAAATTAATAAAACTCTTAACACAACCATTTAAATCCAAAGCACATCATGCATTCCAACAACAATTGCTAATGAAATCTCAGCAACAATTTAAAACTAAAATAAAACGTAAAAAGCAACAGAAAATGTTGCTACCACAATTGCCGCAATTACCTGTACTATCGCAGTTATCAGATCTAACAAGTCTTAGCCCGTTGCCTCAACAGCAACCAACGGCAACAGAGGTTGCTACAACAACCTCTTCAAATGCTGCACAGCAATTGCGTTTGTTTAGACGATACTCCTATAATGTAAATGTATCGTGTAGGGGTTTTACCAGCTAAACTATATTATTTTTAATATATATTTTAAGATTTATTTCCATGTATAAATTAACTCGTTCAAGCAGAGTTTTTTCTACCTTTTTTAAGAAAAAAAGTTAACATCTACAAAATTAAAATATTTGACATATTTTGGCTAAAGTAGGGTTGTAATACTATACCCATATACGCATCCTAATTTTTAAAAATGTTTGGAAATATTTTTTATTTAGCTTTCATAATAATTTGATTTAATTATCAAAAGATTTATTCTTTTGATAATCCCTTTTAACAGTTTATTTAAAGACATATACGTCATATCGATCTTAAACGACTATTCCGACAATACCTTATAAATTTTTAACGTTACTATTTTTTTATAACAAAATCTTCTAAAAAGTGCTAATTTTTTAGTGTTGTGTATATGACGATATTCAGTTGAAATATATTTTATTTTATTTATTAAATGTCTTCAATATAGTATAATAATCTAAAATTTGTATTTTGTTTAATTGCAGCCTTTACCTGCAGTACAAATTAAGGAAGAACCAACGGATAATGATGACGACTATAGTATGAAGCATCATGATGAATCTGATGATATTGTTGACCCAACAATGTTTTTGGAACGCACACAAGAAGAGGAGGAGGAGCCAATAATGGTAATATATAATAAAATTTCAACAGTATATAATCAATGTAACGCCATTTTTTTTGTAGGAACCTCCACATTATAGTTTTTCAAGTGATCAACCTTCTGTTATAAGTGATGTCAAAGAAGCATCCTGCCGTGCGTGCAACTTAAAATTTTCTACGCGTGCAAATGCACGTCGTCATGAACGTAACTTGCATCCCAACCTTTTTGAATTTGGTCCGGCTTCTGCTAATAGTACACCAATTACTAGACCTACAGCAGCTCTTGCCGCTGCATTAGAGTTGCGTCGTACTAATCAAAATTCTAACGCTGCCGACACATCTTCGTTACTGTCACAACAAAAATATCGTCAATTAGTTGTGAATGCTTTCAATCAAGGCGAGGCGGGTGGTTATGATTATGACAGTCCAGAAAAGTATCAGCAATTACTAACTGACGAGAAAATAGTGTTTCTACAACAGAATGAGGACTTTTTGTCACAATATCAAAATATGACTTGTCGTTGCTGCAACAGAAGTTATACTACTTACAAGAATTTTATGGCTCATATGCGTAAAAAGTATGCGACGCTGCCACGGAACTTATGTTTCAATTGCTTGAAATTGAATGATTCGAAGGCGCATTTCATATCACATTTGAAGCGTCGCAATTGCATTAATTTGTATAGAATTTTGCATTCCCTTATGTTGAAGGATCAAACGTTTGCTGCTGCCGTTAAAGCGACAAGTGCCGCTGTACCTGAAAAATTGCGAGCTAAGGAGCTGCTCGTCAATAAAATGTACGAATGTAAATTGTGTTCAAAGAGTTTTCGTCTTAAATTGGAGTTTCGTACACATGTTTATGATGATCATGCTGATGCACAAAAGAGGGATACTGGTTCCAAGCAGTGCAGTTTCTGTTCAGTCGAACTGGAAGATCCGGCTGAGCGTAAGCGGCACAATAACAATATGGATTGTATCGCTTCACTTCGTTGCGTCACTTGTGATGCCAAATTCGACAAGCATCAACAGTTTTTGGATCATGTCTATGAGAAGCATTTAGCTGGCTTTGGTGAGCAAAATAATGCTCAACCACAAGTAATAAGTGGATTAGAAAATGTACCGGCTAAAAAGTCAATAACGGGTATGTCAGCTTAACTTTCTTTTCGATAGTCAATTTATTTATATTATATAATTTAGGCTCTATAACAGAAGATTCTCGTGGTGGAAATCAACCGAAGACTCAATATTTCTCACGTATGCCGCAGGCTTGTCCAATATGCGGCCAGCAGTACAATAATTACAATAATGTTTTGCGACACATGGAATCCAAGCACCCAGATCAATTACCTCAAACTTATAAATGCGTTAAGTGCGGAACTGGATTTCCACGACTGTCTAATTTGCGTGAACATATGATTAACGCACACGCTGCTGAGTCCATTAAGCACACTGGTTTTGAGTACATAGTCAATGCCGATGCTGTAAAAATTTCAGGAGGTAACAACAATTCAAATGTGTATACTGGACGCTATGATTATGTTATGAAGGATTTGATGTCAATAACAAATGGTGGTACAACTGGTAAGAGGGAAACCTCGATTGTTGTGTTTAGTTCCTTAATTTTATTTGAGGCTTAAAAGCCCGTAACACACTAATATGAGCATAATATAAGCTTGTTTTCTTCTATATATTTATTTTTTAATGATTTAATTTTCCATTTTAAGTTGCCTTTAAAGCTTGATTTATGCTAAAAAACTTCTTTTTCATTTAAAAACTTCACTACAAAGATTGACTTAACTGCTTTTCTGATTATATAAACTATTGGGGGGTTTAAATTCTGTTTCTAAAATTTATAGATAGCTCTATTATTTCAAAATTCCATATTTATTTTTATACTAATGAACTTTTTTGTATTATTTTAATATGTAATTACAAAATCCTTCAGTGGCATTAGTTAGAATAAAATTTAGTTGCAGGTAACCCTAACAACTTGACGAACGTACTTGCTTTTAATTTTTTATCGTTGCTTGAATTTTTATTTAATTTTTTAAATTTTATTGGCAATATTTAAAAAAGATTTCTTTTTGCAGAAGACGGTGAAAATGAGCAAGCCGCAAAGAAAATTCGTTTAGATACTTCAGTTAACATCAAAAATAATGGCACTCCTGACAATAAAGTTTATAATAGCTCAAAAGAATGTCCAATATGCAATGCCGTTTTTAGTAATAATATTGGACTCTCCAACCACATGCGTTCACACACTGCGGCAGCTCAAAATGCAGCGGCGGCAGCTAATTCCGCCAAGAATGCACAGCGACCTTTAAGCATAACAGCTGCGCCTAAGACAAATGCAACTGCTGCTCAAAATACACAGGGTGTTAGAGAACAGGCCATATTTAGACGTAGTCTTGAACAAGCAGCAGATCGTCGTTTCCGCCGTATGCGTTGTCGTATATGTCAACGTCGCTTTTCGTCAAAGAAATCTTACCGTTTTCATATGCTCAACGATCATCAGATACGCAATGTACAGTTTATAAAGTGTAAGATATGTGAAGCAGAGTTTGCTTATGAAAAAGGCCTAAAAGTACATATGTTCAAAATACACCACACTTTGCTACGGAATGAGATGATTGTGAAGCAATATGAGTGCGACATATGTTCAATTGTTTATCCCGCCGAAGAACAGTTGTTGCAACATAAGCGTACTGTGCACGGTAATGAGAATGCGCAATCAACAGATTTTGCTGATGGAGCTGTAGGTGACACAAGCTCGTTAGGTGCAGATCATTCAGGTATATCAACTCCTGTTAGTGGAGCAAGCATTGCTGGCGGTGAACGTAACACTACAGATCAAGCAGCAGCAGCACCGACTGGACCACTTTACTGGTATCAATGTAAATATTGTCCTTCTAATTTCAATACAAATAAAAAACTAGCTATTCATATCAACTCTCATGACGAGTTTGATTCAAAGGACTATTCATGTAAGGATTGTGGAAATGTTTATAGTGGCCGTAAAAGTTTATGGGTAAGCATTATTAAATATTTGTTAAAATTTTTTTAGTTTAATAATATATTTTTATGTACAATAAAAAGGTTCATCGTTACAAAAAACATCCCCAAATTGCTCAGCCTTCAGAATGTACTATGTGCAGGAAGGTCTTCTTCGATAGTCAAATGCTCGAAAATCATATACCAACGTGTAATCGCATACAAGTCCCTGGCACAGTGGATAGTTTGAATACACCAGTTTATAGACATAAGACTGGTGACGATGAAGATATTTCACGGGAAGGCGCTGACCTATCTACTACTATTGGAACAGGTAATGATGAAGTTTCAACAATGACAACAGGAAAAATTCGTCTACCAGAAGTGGCATGCACAATATGTGGACAACGGTTCACCGACCAGGAACTTTTCACTAAACATATTCAAATGCACGAACAAGAATTATATACAGACAATCCATTGGCTGCAATGTTTGATACTGGTCCAGCTGATCCGAATCAGTTTTATTTAGATCGAGTAAACGATAATGGCGAATACGCCTGCGATTTGTGTCAAAAAACATTCACACAAATGACTGCACTTAAAGTGCATCGAAAATGGCATTTCAGAGGTGATAGCAAACAGGTGAGCTTTTGGGCTTGTGCAGTGAGGTGCGAAACAAAATGTCCGATTGATATTTTTGGCAAGCAAAATTTATTTCATTTAATCAAAAAATCATTTTTTTTGTACTCATAAACATTGCTTGACAGTTTTATTCTGTAAAAAAAAAAGAACTTTTTGCGCTCAAAATTTACAAAACGACATTTATACATTTCCAATGGAAGCCTCCACACCAGTCACAAAATTATAGATTTGTAATTGTGATATATTTTTTTAAGGAAACATATATTAATTATATTTATGTTTTTTTAGAACCAAGTAGAGTCCGATGCGAATACATTGCAGACCCAGACCAACCATCCACATCTACTGGGATTACAAGCAGTGGGACTTATGCCCAATCCTCGCCCATCTTCAAAATCCCAGAAGCACAAACGCGAACTTAAATGTGAATATTGTTCTTCGACTTTTATAAGCAATAACAACCTAAGGCGACATATATATGAATTACATAAGGATGAAATATCCAATTTACCTCAACCGCCCAAAATTGAAACTGATAAGTACTTGCACTGTCGTCGGTGTGATTTTAAGTTTTCTACCAAATTTGATTGGATTGAACATAAATTGAGTGAAGCGCGTGTTATGAAACCATACGGACCCTTCCAATGGGGTTGTGATTTATGTGGAGCATATGTGTCACGTAAAGAGAAACTCATCCATCATATAAGCAACCATCTTAAGGAAAGTGTAATTGTCCCCATAGAGCAGCAGAAGCAAGAAATGAAAAATCAGAAGAATCAAAATGCAGACGAAGAGAATGCACACCATAGTGATAATGATAAACATCTTGATAATAGTGAGTATGGTCAAGAAGAAGAATCAATGGAGAATGATATTGAACAAGATGAGCAAGCGGAAAGCGATGATGATGACAATGAGACGACTGAGGAAGGTGATCCTGATGGTGATGAAGATGACAACGGTAGTGTACGTGAATATGATGAAGAAATGGATGAAAATAATGGAAACAATGAAAATAATAGCGATGATGATGACGATGACGAAGATGATGATGAGGATGTCCAGACAGATCATGATTACGTTATTCAAAATGAAGAAGTTGATAAAAATAATAGAAACTCTCAACAGTTAGCTCCGAAATTAATTATAAAGACTAATCGCACTGTAGATGATACAACTGAAGCTGAGGATTCGCCATCATATATAGATGATGATGACGATGAAGATGAAGATGGTGATGGGGACGGTGACGGTGATGGTGATAGAGATGGAGATGGTGATGGTGAGGGAGATGGAGATGTTGATCATGATGGTGATGGAGACGCTATGGATACTGATTCAGATGATAGTAGCTCTTCAATTGGTGAGACAAATACAAACAAAAGTAAATCACATTCATGTGATTTATGTCAAGTATATTTTGAGTCACAACAAGAGCTTCAGAAGCATGTAAAGACACACTTTCTAAATGGGCCGATTACTTTCGGTGCTGTGAATTCAAGACCGAAAAACGCAAGTCGTAGCAGCACTAGTAGTGACGCTTATGAAATGTCATCATAAACTTTTTTTTTAATTTTTAATATTTTACTCATTCTAGTTTAAATTCAATCAATTGAATTTTAAGCAGTCCATATTTAAAATTTAATTTAAAATTAAAATTCTGATATGCACAAATAGTTAAGTTAATTTGTTTATAAATAAACATTTTTTTTAATTTTAAAATACAAAACTTTTTTTTTGTAAAAGTAAAAAATGCTGTAATACCAACGATAACCATTTCTAAAGAATAATTGGTAAATTTAAAGCAACAAATAAAGAGTGTACTAATTTGAATTAAAAAATATATCCTGTAATGAATTACAATTATAAAAAATGTGTATTAATAAAACTAGGAATTAATTATTTAAATAAAAAATAAGAAATACAAATAATTAGTTGTATATTTAAATAATAATATTGTACAGTTAAAAAATATTAAAAAATATTAACAATAATTTTGTTAGTTTTTCCATTTAGTGTGAATTATTTAGCATTTCATTTATAAAACAGTAATATTAATATATATAGAAAAATTAAAAGATTTGTATCAAAAAACCGCAGAAAAGAAATTCCTTATGTTAAATTGCCCATATAAATATTTGTTGCCAAACTTTATTTCATACGTTATAATAGCATTAGTAGTAAGCAATACAAACTAACTATAAGGATAATTATAAAATGAAATGTAAATAATTTAATTAAAATTTTTGAGTAATAAAACTGTAGAAGATTGATAAAATATATAAAAATATATATAAAAATTTATATAAATTTTTTTGCCGCTTCTCATTTTAAAATTTGTATTGTCTATATAGTGGTATTGTTATTATGTCTTCTTGTAAGAGCAAATACGAAAAATATTGTTTTGTTATAATTAATATTTATTGAAATATTATTTATTTTTATAAGTAAATATATTTTTTAGATAAATTAAACAGTTTAAGTTTTATATTTTAATTTATAATGTTGGAATTGTTTTTTTTTCTTCTTAAAGTGTTTATAATTTATATTAGCATTTTAAATTAAATTTTTTAAACTACTTTGTATACACACATGCACAGTTAAAAGAAAGATATATTTTTATTTATATGTCTTTATGTATATGACTACAGTCTTCCCTGAAATATTTACTGATACTTGTTCTTTTTTATTTTAGTTTCATTTTAAATGTATTATTAAGTTTACTATATTGTGATTAAAATTTAGTAATTAAATGATAAGTTTATTAAATAATAAGTTAATTAAATATTACTATAATTATATTTTATTTTATATGATTATTTTTTGTTTCGTTTTAGCAAACAATTTATTCATTAGCATTCTATTTTCTTATTACAAAATTTTAATTTTTTTATCTTATTTTTTAGTTAGAATTATTTATATTAGCTGTAATATTTTCAGGGATATTATATTAATGTTAAATATTTGGAAGAAAGAAGTTATTTATTTAAACATTTAACTACCACGTATATAAATATTGCATTTTATTACATTTTTTATGTATACTACTAATTAAAATATAAATATATTTTAACAAACACACATAAAATACATTTAGAAATTGTAAATTTTTTAAAAAATTTTCAACCTTTGCAACATTTATTGAATATGTATATATATATTTTATATATATTTGTATGTATAGCTTCACATTTGTGAAATATGCAGTAACTGCATATGTAAATCAATTTACTGTATTTTATAATTATGTTATTATTAAAAAATAATATTTAATTGAAAACTGGTGTCAAATAATTCTTCCTATTAGTATTGGTTTTAGCTTAAGAATTATTATTAGATTAAAATCCTATATATATTTATAATAGATATACTTATTTTTGTTTTCAATTAGCATAACGCATTATCGCACATTTCCCTTTGTTTTGGTGTTTGATTTTCCTTTTATCAGTTTTTTTTTATTCATTTTACATATTCTAATGCCATTCTATGACTTTCTAATGAAGAATATTTACTTTCACTTTGTTTTTATAATATTTTAATTAAGATAGTTTTATAAATATTAATACATATAATGATAATGATACCTGATACTTTGAAACCTAAATCGAAACCGAAATGAGAAGGTAGATAAATATAAGTAAAACAAAAAAAATTTATATTATGCTTATAGAGGTTATAAGTAATTTTATTTAGGGTTGAATGAATTAAATTTTTTTTGGATTAGGGCGAGGTCCTAAGAAGTTTTGATGCTCTTACATTAGATAGCCAATTGCTATACATTTGAAAACTAACTATCTAACAAAGAATTTTACTCAAGCATTATTATAATTTTGACACTTCGCATATCATATTTTGTATGCATTCAATGCAATATGAAAGTACTGAAATCATAGGGAAAGAATGTCTTATTTTTTATTTTGAATAACTGTTATATATAAAAATATTTTATATGTAAATTTACTTTCAATATAGGAGTGGTATTCACTCGAGTAGTTTTCAGTCGAATGGTATCTCGAGTAACGAGTTCGGTAACCGAGTAAAATAATAGAAATATTAACCATCTCGATTAACGAGTTTAAAAAGCCAGTAATAGAGTAATACTATAAGGTACCAACAACAGAATAGATACATTTGAAACATGTTTTGTTGCTCTAACTTTGTAATGTTAACATTTTACTCGATTATCGAGTTTGTTGCTCGAGATCGTGAACACCCCTACTGAGACTATTGAGTTAATTGGTTATCGAGTTTGTTACTCGTAATAGTGAAAACTATTATTGTTTAATATTTTCAACAAATAAAATACATTATTTTTAATTTTTTTCACTTCATATTAAACCCATGGAGCCTTTTGGGTGTTTATATGAGTTAATAATTAATATATTTTTATATGTATAATATTTGAGAACAATACTTTAAAGAAATTTAGGATGAATGTATAGTATTTATTATAAATAAATACCTATTAAGTTAACGTTAATTGGTATAGATGCTAATTCTTGTATATATTTTAGTTTAAATTATTTCAATGCCGAAAAAGTAAAGTTACGGTGTCCTGCTGCTAACTCATATTTTTTCAATTATCAGATAGATTTTAGGACATCAATAAAGCACATATATCAAGTTAAATACTTCTCTATAACGCAGTAGATTGATTTCGTGTTATAAGAAAACGCGTTATAGGGGTATTCCTGTGTACCCCGTATACACACGTGCAAAGGTACGCGAAGCTAATTATAAACTGTGGAAATCCTCGCGTTATATGGGGGAATGCCCATGTTATAAAGGGGATTGAAATCACATAATATGAAAACTCGTTATAAGAGTATCATGTTATAGGGGGGGTTACTATACTCGTATACGGAAATATTTTTTTTTTTTCAAAACAAAAATAAAAGTAAACAATCCCTCTTTTTTCTTATATTTATCTGTATTTTGTTTGAACTTTGATTATAATAGAAGTATATCAAGAGTACAGTAATCGCCCCAATAACGCGGTAGATTGGTTCCGTGTTACAGGAAAACCCGTTATAGGTGTATTCCCGTATACCTATACGGAGGAATGTCCGTGTTGTACGGAGGTCTAAAATCGCGTTATAAGGGTACTGCGTTATAGAGGGGATTACTGTATATAAATTGTTATACTGAATTATGCGTTAATTACTTCTTTTGTTAAATTTGGAAAACCTAAGCAATATTTCTACTAAACATTTAAAAAAAAAATAGTGTTTCAAATGAGTTAATAACCTTAAGGCCTGCGTTTAAGGTACAAACCCCATTTTTATATTTTAGTAAAATTACATTAGCAAAGTTTTTAACAGTTTTTAACAATGTTAAAGGCTAGAGTGCGCTGGGACGTAGATGCCTTCGCAGGGTCATTTTGAAATACTGCGGATTCCGCAGCAGGACACAATAGCTCTCAGGCTTCCGCTCATTTTTATAAGTTAATTTAAATGTTTGCGTGAAAGTTCAAGCAACAAACAAACCCTTTTTTAAAGTTTGTTTTGAGAGTAATTAAAAAACTTTGAAGTATGTAAACTTTTGTATTAATTGGTTTTTTTTTTAAATAATATATTAAATTAAAAATAAATTATAGTAGAAGGTTAAGAAGCATGTATATTGCGTTTGTAGCACAAGCGGCTTACGAATTTTGGTATTTGATTAAATTTGCTTTTGGTCTTAGTCTATGTAAAGAAGGATTAAGAGCTGCATAATTAATATTGAGATTTAGTTAGTACGGAGAAAATGTTGCATTTGGATTTGCATTTAATACGAGCAGGTATTTTGTGCATTTGTTTCAGTTAAGTTTTAATTTGATTTTAAATTCATTTAGGATATGACGCAGGAATTGCGTTTGCCACCCAGGCTGCGCTCCTGTATTCGCTGTAGATGTTGCAATTGAGCGGGTGTGGGTGCATGCGATGAGGCGTGTGCACCAGATGGATGCGGGTGATGATGGGTTGGTGTGCCTGGTGTACCCATTTGCTGTGGCAATGATTGACGACGCCGCCTTAACGCTGGACTCAAATTGTACGTGATTTTTGCTTGCGATAATAGCTCTTTAAACACCTAGAAAATTGGCAACAGTAAATAAGGGAATCACTTCTATTTTACATGCATTCATTAGTACCTGTGTAATATTTTCGTTTCTTGCTGCTGACGCCTCCACAAAACCATTTTCCCAATCTACTGTAACAACAGATTCTGTGGTGGCATATTCAACCTGTAAAAGTTAAAAGTTATATGAATGTTAATAACATCGAAACATTTATGCAATGTTATTAAAAGCTCATGTTAAGCTCACTTCCTGTAAAAGTTTTCATTTTTAAGCACATTATAAATTGAAAAGGATGTAGGTTATATATGCGTAAATATATATAAACAACACTGAAGAAAGATTTATTTTTATATCTATCTATAGATTTGAGCGTATATTTTAAGTCCACAATTTTATCAGTCTAGAAAAAAACAGTAAAATTTCGTGAACGAACTTACGACGTCTAAAGAATCAAAAAGACTCTAGCTAATTGAAGAGGCTTAACCTTCTTTTTTAAATATCTATGAAATTGATCGATAAGGGATCATTTGCTAAACAAAAATTTCTACTTTTATGATCTCTCATTTTGTATGTCAGTGTAAAACAGCATATTCCAGTGCGATCATATGTGAGAATTCCGAAATTCTTTGGAAATATTCATCTTGTTTACGTATAGCAAGCTTATAGTTCCAGATTAAATGTCGTGTCAACCTTTATCTGATTGCTGTGGTAACAGCCGACCAATTTATATTGTATTTTCAAAAGAAATAAGCGGAAAATAAATACTTTTTATGTAACTGACAGGACTAGAAACTGATAATGAAGGTTGAAACGAAAACGTTTAGATTCTCGTTAGTTTCTTAGTGCTCTCTTTCTGATAGAAGTGGACTAACTTGGACGAATTGCAAGCAAATAAATTGTAACTTCTTTGTTTGTGAGATATCGTCTTCTTCATTAATATTATAGTTCGGATCGAAAAGGTAAGCACCAGTGATGGCCTCTATTTACAATATATCAATGTGGAGTTACACAGATATGACTTTTAAAATTTTTTATATCTATCTTTCTTTGTATTGTGATCTGTGAAACTTTCTTCTGTTTTTAACGGATATTTATGGCAGTCAAGTACATCTTTTAATTTAACTCTTAGATGTGTGACCATAACGTAAAGTTAAAAATATGAATATAATAATGTTCTTGTGCTTGATTTTATCAAGCAATTGGTTAAAGAATCTTCAATTTATTCAGTTCTGACATACAAATCTCAGGTGTGGGGTCTATATTAGCTTCTAATGAATCAGCTATTGTTTTAAGCTAGAAGCGTACTTCGAAAAAATAGGTATACGAGTATGACCGAAGGTTATGAGTAATAGGTCTTACCGAATCCACATAATTAAGCATTCGTTCATAGAGTTAATACAAACCCAATGTAAATATTGTTTAGGAATATAAATGAACTCACCATTGTGCTGATGAAAAATTATGAATGAGAGTGATTGTATGGACCCTATGGCCTAGGTAGGACAGCAAAAGAACAAATGTTCTTCTATGCTGAAAGAAAAACAGTTTGCAGTTTGTGTGTTTACTGTATTACATTTGTAATATTAAATAAATAAGTAAACGGAACTGATCGATAAATTCTAATTATTCTTTACTATGGAAACTTCAGTATAGTACGCTTTTTAGAATGCACCACCGTAGAAGCAATAGTAGATGCAATAGCAGAGTGCATGAAGAAGAACCTGGTACTCTATCATATCACATGTCGATAGATTTTGGAAACAATGGTTAGTATAGTTCACCTACTAGTAGTAACTTTAATGGCATTACACTGAGCAGTAATCGCCTCCAAATGTAGGTGTGTATATATAATATATTAATATACCATATATGATATACTCCTATAAGAGGTTGTGTAAAGGATTTAGTCATTTTTGTTAATGAAAGTCCTGTAGGTGTCCTTGATTTCCATAGCATTGAATTAGAATGTTAATTGATTTTAAATACAATAAAAACAATTATTCTAAATGGTCATTTCTAAATTTCAATCAACACTAAAACAGATTTCAAAAGGACATTTTGAAGTGAATTTTTCTCAATTCCAATTACGTCTTTCTCTCCTCTTCACGTTAATTTCTTTCAATAATAATCCTTAATAAAAAACATTAATTAAGTTTTTATTGATATTTCATTTTCTTTGTGATTTTTAAACATCAATTTGAGTATTTAAATTGAATCCTTTTCTTTTGATGAAGGTCTACAACGGGTGGGTCATGATTCTTTGTCAGAGGTGATTAGATGATTGAAATAAATTTCTATTAAAAACAACATTTTTTAATTATTTGCAAAAATTAAAAGATTCGAAATTGACAAATGGTAAATTAATTTAAAAATGAAATCATGCTTAGAGGATTGTGGAGAGAGCGATGGGTTAAGTGGTGCAATTTGTTGAAAGGTGCGGGAACCATTTTAAAAATTTTGCGACGTCTTTATTATTTCATAATAAAACCAAGAAGAAAAGGAATTTATACAAAAGAATAATAATAAAGATATAAAGACGAAATAGTATTAAATTGTTGGGTGTTGGCCCTTTCTTGCGAAAGTTGCTGATGCTGCAAACTGCCTAAAGGTTTCCAGGTTTGCGTTTGAGCACTTTTTTTTCTATCTTCACTTCTTTCTTGAACATACGCATAAGTAATCAACCTTAAATGGGTGGGGTCTGGGTCGCTACATACTTTTTTCCAAATGAACAAACATAAGCGAAAAAGGCATTAATGTGTACAAAAGTGCGAAAGTGAACCAAAACGTCTTACGCACTTGACTTGTGCTGAATCGTTGACAAGTGGGTGAACGAGCAGGAGCTGAGGCTGAAGATTTCGAATTAAGAAGTGCGTTGATGTGCCATCTTTTTGTGGCATGAATTTGATTCTCCTCGCTAGTGCTGAGTGAGGATAAATTGACAAAAAAAAACTGAAATAAATTTTTTTTTACTGAAATATAAAATTTGCATTTTTATTATATTACAGAGCTTGACAAAGTCAATAATCTCATGCACAAAGCAATTCGTTTAAAAATTGAGTATTACACAGAAAAATGTTCGAAATGCGAAAACAGTTGTCAGGAACCTAGATTTTATCCATTTCTAAGCAGAAAAAAAAAATCAAAACGAAACTAAATTAACAACGAATTATGTTTAAATCACTGAACAGCACTGACAGTATCTGTTGAAGGCACGACAGAAAGTACGGAAAGGCATACGTACTTCTATAATTTTGCATAATGTAAACATTGGTGACTTCTGCAGCGAGAAATTCGATTTTGTACGTTGTCATTTTGGTTGATAAGAAATACGACTTACAGAGATTCTCGACAGAACACATTTTTGGAAAGAAATAATTAAATATTATAAGCACTCACCTCTCTTGTTTCACTATCCTCCGTTACCAAATCAATTTTGTTGCCCACAACCACTATCGGTACGGCCGTAGTTCCTTTTGTCTCATGTATTTGATCCCGTATCATACGCACTTCTTCGAAAGTGGCTGCATCGGTAACGTCATAGACTAAGATGAATGCATCAGCAGATGAGATGGAGAGTGCTCGCATTGCTGGAAACTGAAATAAATAAAAAAATATTGATTGAATCAAAATCCTCCGTATTTGTTTAAATTAAATTTACATATTTTTATTATTTTTACAAGTATTTCATATGCATTTGCATTTTAAGTTCCATGAAATGTGTTCCATAGAACTCAGAAAATACCCTCGGCACATTTATTTATAAAACTTTGCAGGATAATTGAATTCAATATAAAAATGTTTATGTTTACATTTTATATTGAAGCAGAGATGAGATACAAATGGGACACTCATACTTCCCTAGAAATTCTACAAATAATATAAATTTTGATTTACACGGAATTTATATAGAAATATTGAATTTCTTGGAAAGCGAAATGAATCACCTTGCATTTATATACGTAGTTAATGTGTAGTGCGTTATTGTTCTGATATTACAAAACGAATACAATATGAATAATAGTAACGATATAAAGATAAAAATATAAAGTTAATTGAAAAAGCAAGCATATTCAATCAATATTTTCAATTAACTATTTCATGTGTGGCTTAAAGTGAGTTCCTTTTTCTTCAGAATTTGAAAATAATATAGTCATAAGTTCATTCGTTCGACATACAAGAACGTATTATTTTGGATAGAAATAGGAATAAACGGAGTACTAGCTTCCAACGGAGTAGAGCACTGCGACCATGATTGATTCTTTGTGCTGCAACAGACCCTAACCGAACAGAAGACACACCGCCTACCAGAATGTCGGAGTACTAGCTTCCAACGGAGTGGAGCACTGCGACCATGATTGATTCTTTGTGATGCAACAGACCCTAACCGAACAGAAGACATACCGCCTACCAGAATGTCGGCCGTTGAGGACTTCATAATATCAGAAGGATTATTTTGGATAAGTATTAGCTTTATTTTTCTTCAACTTTAATACGAACATTTCAACGCCTTTATAATATTTGTAAATCGACCATAATAGCCCTTATATAAGCGATCATGTTTCATTAGAACCGAAGCGCTGCTATCGAATTATTCGTTTAAAGTTTGTAATAAATAATAGCTATTATTAGACTAATTCAAGAATAGTTAGAGTAAGATTTATATTATTAGATGATTGGTATCATCGATTTGTGAGAAGCATTGTTTCTTCTTTTTTATTTGGGAGAGTTTTTAGGGCACTAATAACACTGAATCTCTTATATACACATAAGAGACTCAATCTCTGGAATGTGAATAATAAAAAATCTAATTATTATTTTCGATTGCTTTGGGTCTATTATTATGTATATACGAGTATAGGGTATCGAATTGAACTGCAATTTTCTAGAACACTATATTTTTTAACCTAAATTTCAGTTCTGCATAAGCAGCTAAAATAAATGTTGAAAAATTTTTTAATTTATTTCAAATATTCGACATCATCGACTTTTGCGCGAACTATAGATCATCAGATTCTTTATCCATTCACAAAGAATGCCTTTTTCCATTCACATCAATATATAGGTATTTATTAGTAGTGACTAATAAATAAATGGTTCGAAAAATTCTCAAACTGTCAACTCATTTTGCATCCACAGTATTCGTGGAGGCCACTGTGCCACTCTGTTTATCACTTAACAGACAACTTAACTCGTTGCCAAGTTATCATGGCACTATTTCGACCAAATTCACAGTTCCGGTTAAAGTCGTAATTAACTCAAGGCTAAGTCATCAACTTTGCTGAATTAATTAATACTTAAATCAATTTTGATAATTAAGTTACAACTCTGTAATCGACCCTTAATGTTTTGTTACACTTTCCGTTAATTGATGATAATTATTCACAATATAGCTACACAATTGTACTATTGTGAATAATGAGTTAAGTTTCAACTTTATATTATACAAATTACAATTCAATCGTTATATTTTTGTATGAAATCAAAATTCAATTTTAATTGGATTTTATAATGAAGCGAGGGAACGAGAATGGAACAAAACTTCAACAAAAATTACAATCAGCTTTGCTGTGTGAATAGGTTATTAATTTTGTATACTCCAGTTGTTTTCGACAACCGCCATACTGTTTTGCAACACTGGCAATTGTTGATTCGATAATTTATGCGATCATTGGTTGTTTGAACTTCAATGAAAACTTATAAATTTTTAGTTAAGTCGATTTAAATGATTAACATATTAGTTCAAGCAATTATTAGTATTAGGAATATATGTATGAATATGTGAATAATTAGGTTTTTTTACTTTAATTGATTTGGAATTATGTAAACTTAATTATTCTAAATCAATATAGAAGCACTTTGGAACTGGAAAGTCCTAAGCATTTGTTTTTCACACTTGCGATTAATAATTCATAATAAGAAAATTTGCTAATTAATGAGTGTTTGCTTCAGCTAATTAATATTTGCTTCCTTATAATTAAAATTAACTTCCCTCCACTCCACAATTTGAGTAGATTTGCAAACCAATTACTGATTGCAAATTCAATTGAAGAGAATTTTCCATTAAGTTTTATTCAAAATTAAATTCACAAAATCATTCAAATTGAATGAAAGAGTTAATAAAGACGAAATGTGGGTGGCAAAGTCAATAAGTGAACTTCAACCTAATATTTTAAGCTAAATAGAGATTTCAATTTTGTGTCAACATTTTCATTGTAAATGTTTTGATACGAATTAAGCCAAAGCTCCGCAAAGGAAAATCGGTCCTGGCATGGGGGAAATGAATCAAAAAGTATGCGAAACGATGAAAAAATAGTTTGCGCTCGGCTTCGGTTTGGTTGGTTACATGAAACCACCATTCAAAATCCATAAATCCAATTCGTAAACTTAACTGAACTGAACTGAACTGAGCTGTAGCGAGGTGAAGTGGAGCGAACCGAACACCAAACTGAAACAAAAGTCACAATCAGGAAAAGTGGAGCAGTTTTTCCTTTTTTGTGCCGTTGAGAAATCAGGCACTTTTGCATAAAGGAAGCAAAATATTCAACATACATTGAATCTGAATCTGAAGCAGGCAACTATTATATATGGTTAGAGCATATTTACAGTTATTTGCAAGTGTGGAAGGTTTGTCTGTGTACTCTTCGACACAAGGCCGGAAACCGCACTAGCATCAGTAGTTTTATGTCTGTGCTCCTTTTTCCGCTTTCGCATACACGTTTATTAGCATTAAACGTATAAATTTTGGTATTGTTAAGAGCGCTCCGGCGCTCGTATATAGAAATAGGTCATTAGGGGAAAGCGATATACCGCAAGTGTGCAAAAAATATTCACTTATTTATCCTCTGTTATTTGTTTACTCTACTCTATTACGTTTTCATTTCCAGTTCACTTTTGTACATTTCCATTTTTATCTTTTCAGTTGCATGACATTTGACTTCATAGTTTTGGATACTACGTCCAAGCATCACTGCCACTTCACTATAGTTAACTAGTCAGTTTAGTAGGATACGTTATCATTGTTTTTTTTTGTGCACTGGTTTTTATTGAAGAGATTTTCGGAAGTCAGAGTTCTATTAAAAAAAAGAGTATATGTTCTATGGTGAAAGTTTAATAGATTTTCATTGAATTCATTGCGAATTGAAGATTCAGTCGAAGTGTATTAAGCTTCATTATTGATCAAATAGTTCACTACAAAATTATTTGCTTATAAAGTTTTTTCTGAAAGCTAGTGGTAATATCAATTTATCACTATATCAAAATTGGTTTGAAATATTTTTTTAAATGGAGTTTCTTGTCATTTCTCGTGCGAAACTGATGTTAGTACCGGGTTTTAGAACAAAATAACTCTTTATTGCTTCAAATTTAATATATAAACCTAAGAATTAATCAATAGAAGTTATGATAGCAATTGATTAAAGGAATATAAAAATTAAAACTGATTAAGATATGGTTTCAACTAGGTACGCTCATAAAAATATGTAAAGAATAGTAGTAAAGAATATATGAAAACTAACATCTCGTAAGGTTGATCCAACCAGTGGCGGAGCTAGACCAACTCTGGACTTCGGCGACATTAGAATTGCGAGGCCCCCTTTATAATCCAATTGTAAAAGTAAATGAGTTACATTCACTAATATGACAAAGAATGATTGAAAGTTTTATTGGTAATCAAATTAAAATAAACACAAATTAAAATAAATGAATTTTCCTACTTTTAGATTCACTCAATTTTTTTTAAATTATATCATAATTTGCGCCAGCTGCTATTTTCCTTTCAGTTTATAGAATTTCGAATGGAGATAGTCTCTCTTGGATCATCATACTTTTCTAGTACGTCTTAATCAATTTTAAATTTGAGAAGCTTCTTTCCGTCGAAGCTATACTGACTGGAACTGTGAACATAAATCTGGTTACCATATAAACATTCGGAAATATTTCGAATATGGTTAATGCCATTATTAAACCAAATTGTTCAAAATATTATTAAGTGCTTAGAATCCACAGTCGGTAACTTTTTGCGAGGCCCATGTGAGCGCGAGGCCGTCGCCTCGCCGACATCGCTGACGCCTAGCGACGCCACTGGATCCAACATAAAGCGTCGAGTAAGAATATTTCGACCTGAGATTTAGTTAAAACCTGGTTAAATCAAGGAAATTATGCTTTATTACTGAGTTTATGTCACTGCGGAATAATCAAAAGTATAATTGTAAAAACTTTGTGCCATCGCAGAACAACCGAAAGTATAATTAAAAAACAAGTTGTGGAAACAAACTGGGTAACAGTTCATGCTAAAATCTTTCTTGCTAACTTTATACAGTGTTATCAACTTATAAAAAAAATTGTGACAATATATTTTAAGTGCTTTTTTACCAATGCTAAGATCCGGATACTTTAATTAACGTATGTCATTAAGAGCTCTGGAACATCAAGAGAGCTAATCTATAGATAAAATTAAAGTTACTATTAAATAATCTGCGTTAGGAATTCAATGATTTTATAATTGGTGTCATCTTATTTAAATAATTTATCTAAGGGAATAAAACGAGTTTTTTTAGAAGTCTGCTTAATATATATGGTTGTATTCTAAATGTTTTCAGACTCAAAGCTAATTTAGTGTTATTTGAAATTTGACCAAGATGGAAATATGAATCCACCATTTCCCAATCTTCATTTTGCTATAATAATTTTTATGTTTTTTTTTATATAAAGGCAAAAATAAATTTTTTTTAAACAAAAGAATTTTGTATAAAAATGATACAAAAATAGACACTAATTAGGGTTTTTGTGCATCTAAGCCAGACAAAGGAAAACAACCGCCTATTACCCTTTTGTAATTTTTTCCAGCTGAAGTTTTGATTTACAATTGTTTTCATCAGAGATTTATACAAAAGACATAAATAGTATATAGTATAGTATATATACCATATTAGTTATTAATTTCATATTGGCGCACTGGAGGAAGAACATGTGGGGAAACTTAAAAGTTCACTATATTGATATATAAATATAGGTTATTTTTAAGATACTTTCGTCGATTGTTCTTTATAAGATTTAATAAATAAATTTCTATAAAAAATATATTTCGTCAAATGACCATTTATAGTGGAAAGTGGTTCGTAGATGCTTTAAACCCAGTAGTGAATCTAAATATTAAAAATGTAGGTAGGTAAATAGAAAAGGATGGTTAGGAGCACAAATAGTGGGTGTAGTATAGTACTTTAATACGCTTAAGTACGTATAATATGTAATTTTCAGTACGTAGAATGCTTAAGGTTCAATTTAAGTTTAATGGTTTTAACTAATCCAATCTTAACAATAAGCATAAGAACGTAGAATCAAATGAATAATGCTTAAGGATCCATTTAAGTTTAATGGTTTTAACTAAGCCAGTCTTAATAATAAGTATAAGAGAGTAGAACGAAATGAACAATGCTAAAGGATCCATTTAAGTTTAATGGTTTCACCTAATCCAGTTGTAACAAGTATTACCATAAGTATGAGAAAGTAGATTGAAATCAAGTTGTAATCTTTTAAGTTTTATTGATTGTAGGTTATACTGTGTTCACAAGAAAAATGAGAGTCTAGAATAAATGAAATTAAAAGTTTTAGACTTTCAGGCTAAAAACACTCATTTGAAATATTCATGACCATTATTCGTATGCTATGTAGAAGAAAGAGAAGAGCTTGAAGCTATTTGATTTGAATTGTGGCTGGGAGCTTGACTTTTAAATAATTAAAGTCATTCAATTTAAAAGAACTTTGTTAAATAATCCTAATGCATTTATAATGAATATACATTTGTAATAAGCCAACCTCCTCCTTATTTTTCTTGGCTGCATGCCATGCTATAAATCTTATGTTTATTTTCAGATTTTTTGTATATTTTTTTTAAAATTACAGTGAATTTTAAATTATCTTTAAAATACTAGTAAAAATATAATTCTTAGTCTAATAGTTAAGATACATTCCAGTGAACACTTTTTTATGGTACGAGTATCATTTAGTTATTCAGTTTTTTAAAATAATTAGAGTAGAAAAGTTGTTTGTTATTTAATCACGATTATTTTATTATTATTATTATTTATTGATTCAAAAAAATTCATACAGCTCTTACAAAAATTATAGAATTTCACTTAAAATCTAAATTGACAATAACATATTTGTTGTGTGTCAGATTGGCATACAAAAGAAGGTGCATAATATTAACATTATTATCTATATATAATTACGCTAACATAAAAGTTTGTTACCCCGTTTTAACTGTGTTGCCGTTGACATATATGGATA